TATATATATATGATAGTGATAGCAATGAACATAAAAAGAGGCCCAAGAATGTGAAAGAGAGCAGTAATGGGAACTGTTGTAATATTATCTCAAAAATAAATAATTTAAAAAATATGCAAATATGTGACTAATTTTCTTTTAAAAACATTCTTAAGGTGTACATCATGACACACCACAGTTTCCAATGTCACAACAACAACAAACAAACATGTGTGAGAGAGGCTGGAAACATGGAGGAGGTTACATGTATGGCAAGACTGCAGGAGGTATGACAACTCTACTGGCATGAGAGAAGGCAGTGATTGACAGAGGAAGCCAGTCATTGTAAGGTGGTCATCGAGAAGTGTTTCTGTTTCTGTTTTTTGTTTTATATCTTCTGGGGAAGGAGGATATGGAAGGAAAGGGAAATGAGTGAGATTGGGATACATGATATAAAATCCCCTCCCAAAAAACAATTAAAAATTTGTTAATATACAAAAATAAACACTATAATGAACTTTGGTGTTTACCAAAATAGACTGGTAGTAATTGGGCTACTTATTACAACACATAATCATTCATTACTAATCATTGCTTTTGAATCACAGCGCTAACACCCAGTGTCAGTCATCTCTTGTAATGCTTTGCCGGAAGCTGCTCCTCTCAACCCTATTCATACAAAGCAGCGCTTCTTCCTCTGTACAGATGCAGATTCCCCAAATGCCAGACTGCAGTGCAGAAAAATGTCTCCTGATCCTAAAGTCTCCGTGGCTATCTATGCTCTGCTTCTAGTAAGGAACTAGAAGGGCTCAATGTGCATTCAACATAAACACAGACACTAAGGTTCAGAGTGACAGTCATTTCAGAACAAGCTCAATTCTTGCCGATGTGTGTATCGGGTATTCAGGGTGCTTTTCATCTGCCTTTGTTTGTCTTTAAACCTGAGTAGCAAAGATGGCCCCAAAGCAGGTGGTTGTTCCAGGATGGCTTTACCCTGGGGCATACATATCTAGATTTAACACTTTTCCACTTTAAGGAGTTATGGCCAACTATCCCTCCCCTTTTCTTGCAATATCTTTACCTCTTTTCTTTTCTCTCCTGTTTTTGTATTTCTTTGGTTAAATTTACAGTTTTTTTGTTTGTTTTGATACAGTGTTTTGTTTAGTCCAGGTTGCCTCAAGTTCCCTCTATTACTGAGGACCTTACAGCATTTTCCCCGTCTCCATGTCATCAAATCTGTACCAGATGATCAAGCAGTACTTCTGGGGTCCACTCCTAGTATCACAGTGAACACACACAGGGGCGGATGTAGAGCTGAAGACAGTGATCCCGGGTCTCAGTTGGACCTGAAGTGAAGACTGTGAGTTTGCCCATTACAGATTATCTCCTACGAACCATGCACTGCTGTCACGTCTGCTTCTCCTGAGCCTTCCTCTTTGTATGTGACCTTGGACAAATACATACCTTAAATGGTATTTTAGAAAAGTCATCCCTGACTGTTTTAAAGTTGTCTACTACCTCAAATCACAGAGGATGTCTTCCATGCCATAATTTTCAGAGTTGGAGCTGGCTAAGCTGTATCTGTCCTCTGTTGGTATCCTTCTGCTCATGTGCTTTTAAAGCAAACATTTGTGCTCATTTGTCTTCTCAAGTTTGTATGCATTTTAATTAACCTAGATAGATCATATTCTGTATCATAAAACAGATACTAGCAAATTAAAATAACACATATCATATGATTTTCACTTCAGACCACAGACCAATCCAACCAGAAATCAGCAAGGGGAAGATAAACAGTAGTGAAACTCTCCATCTGGAGACAACACAGTCAACGTGATTGAAGCTGTGACTACTGACACCGAACCTCTCTCCTCCAAGGTCTGTTGTCCCATAAATTGTGTAGTAAAATCTTTACTTCAGACAGAAATTTCTGTTATGGGGATGCCGGTCATAAATGATGTCATATAGAACTATTGAGCAGTAAACTAGTGGGTTGAGGAACTAAACATCTAATTTCATTTAAACTTATTTGCGTTTTCGTCAAGTATATTGAAGTTGTAATCAATACATGGCTATTTTTTAACATAGCCAACTCTATAAAAAGTTCAAACTATATTTGCTCAAAATATTCTAGGAAATTATGATATTAATGAACACATAAATTAGGTCATATAAAAAGGGAAAATTAGTAGAAATTGCATGAATTGAAACAACTAATTTGTTGGTTATTGTCATGTGAAATACTGGTAAAAATTTATGTGTTTGCATCCTTGTCCAGAGATGGTCTTGCTGCTTTAGAAGACTGGGGGACCTTCAGGAAATAGGCTTTGTCTACCTGGACAGGGGTTGGGAGGTGTGGCCAGGCTTTGACGGAGAGCCAGAATCCTCAACCAGCATCAGTCCTCGGACCTTCAGTTTCTGACCCATGGAGATATGAACAAGTAGCCTTGTTCCACCGCCATTATGTTTTCCCCACCACGATAGACAGTACCTTTTCAAAATAGCAGCAGTGAGAAACCTGCTCTCCTTAAAACTGTCTTGTCAGGTCACAAGAAACAGGACACTATCCTGCACTGTGGAACTCCTAAACTGCATATAGCTAAACATTTGATTCCTTTATTCAGAATTTTTTGTATACTATGTGATTTTATACTTCTCTTTCTATATAGTATTCAGGGGAAACTTGAAGTATTAAAAAAAAAAATCCAGAGGCAGTGAATGACCTCAAAAAAAAAAAAAAAAAAAAAACAGTGTTTTCCAAACAAGACAGGGCAGTAGCTGTGAATTCACAATGATCATGATGCCACGAATATTAATCTGGCAATAGACATTGGATTTGTTGTGGAACAATAAAAAGA